ACAAGACAGCATAGAATGAGGATAAACAAACGGATAAAGTAGTAGTAACAAACAGCACTGTTATGAATACACACTGAGCATATATTATCAATAAAGAAGTGTCTGCATCAAAAACAATACATGTACAATAAATAAAACACTTTCAATCGCTGACCTTGTGTCACAAAATTCACCAACTGCATCTCACTAGGGAGCAGGTGATCCTCAGTTGAATAAAGTAATAAATTGTAAGACGAATTGTCACTGATTGGATAATAATAAAAGTCATTAGTAGTGCTCACGTTTTGACCTGTATCATTGTTATAAATATAAATAATCTGATTATTATTATCAATGTCTCCATTTTTCCATCTTATAAGAGCATGTGTCTTATTAAATCCGCTAAAAGTTATGTCAGTAATAGATCTGGTACCAAAGTTTGACTTACCAAGACTAATATTTAAAGATGTGAATTCCTCCCCATTAGTACTGACATTAGCTGTATACAGTCCAGCTGCTTCAGATGGACTAGAGATATCTATTATTAGTAACACATTGCTATATATAACTTCTGCAGCATTTAAAAGGCGAGAGTAATGACTTTGATTGAGATAATTTGAAGGTGTTGACCAATAAACGTGAGTAGGAGGTAGAGCAGTTGAGTTAAATGAGAGAGAAACAGAAAGAGGACGATGTAGACTTAGAACTTGAAATGAAATATTTGTTACATTAGGTAGTCCAATGGTGTCACTGCTGCTCTTAACAATAAGAAATAATCTGTCAACCTCCTCTTGTGTAGCATTTATTACTAATCTGCAACTGTAAGCACCACAACGAGAAGAACAGTGTTCCACAGTAATACTGCCAATGATATCCAATTGAACTGGATTGTGTGCATTTACTAGGTTATTCATTGAACTAGGAACATCAAAACCAAAAGGATCAACCCAAACTGCACTAATATTGTCAGATCCAGTGCAACAGGTGACTCTGCTATTGGCAGTACCTACTATTGCAGTATTGTTTGGTAAGGGAGAGCAACTGGTGTCGTAAAGCATGGGCTCATCTGTTGAGAAATGTATAAAATGTAATAAAAGGAAAAGATGCCTTACTATAATTGCAGGGGCAGTTGCTCATTGAACAGGGAGAGAAAGAGACGAAGAGAAGAAATGATAAACACACAACACCTGCTCTTCTACATTGCTCCATCTTTGCAAACTGCAAAACTTGCAATTAATTGATGGGTGTGGCCTAGTCTAAACTGGAGGTGTGGCTGCCTAGTAGCTGGAAATGGCTGATAAAGTCGAGGAGAATATAAGAAAAACAAGCGTTGAGCTTTGTACAACAATAGAGAAGAGAGCTGCTGAATTACTGAGTACACTCTCAGACCAATCTCAGGCTGAAAGTACAGGCCAGACCTTTATACTGGAACCAAACCTACTGG